CGGACTGCATACTTCTTAGCTCCAGCCTCCTCCGTGTCGTACTTCTTTTGGAGTGCATCCCAGATCATCATTGCGGTGTTCTTGCTGTCCGCATAGTAGTCGTAGAGATCGTCTGCCAGGCCGTTGAGGATGTAGTTCTTGCACATGAAGTCATGCTCGCTTTCCTTAGCAGAAGTAGCCCTCTCCTCATCGGTCGCTTCTTCTGGCAGCTCGACGAGCATGCTGGTGAGGCAGTGTGCCAATTTCTTAATCGTCAGGTAGAACTCCATCTTTTATCTCCAGCGACGGAAGTTGACTCCAACGAAGCGAAAGGGTCGATTGATATCGACAGCACCAGATCCGGCCACGTTGTTCTGTTCAGTCGACGTAGCTGCAGCCGAGCGTCTTAAAATTGTTAGGAACGGAACAACAACAAGGACGAGGTTACCGAATCTGAGCTGAGTCGTGGACTAGGTCGCACGACAGACTATCAACCGGTCGTCTCCAAGATAAAACAACTCCTCTTTGTACTCGCGGTTTTGTGCGAAAACCAAAGCTCTCTGAACACTCTCTCTATTGTGTTTATGCTCGTTGTGGTGTGTTTAGAGGGGTTGGGGAGGCGACTATTTATAGGAGCCGAAGGGGCATACCCTTAGGAGAGAGGATCCTATCTTTATACACATTTCACCAAGTAAAATTACCAATGTGGTAGTTTTTCCACTTGAGACTCTATACCTTTCAAAGCTATTCATTCATTTCCAACAGCCTCTGCAATAAATGTCATGGATATTGTTGAGGTAGATTAGTTATGGTTGGGAATAAACCTCGAGAGTCAACAACACTTCTTATAAACTAAGCCTGCCATACATTGGTTTCTACTCAACAAATGCTTTCTGTGTTTATGTATGTCGGAGATAAGAAAGAGTTGTAGCATATTTTGGATTTCCTGGCGTAGAATAACTCCATCTGGTATTCGATAACATAAGTCAAAACCTGACACTACATGTGTAACGAACCAATGTATGAGTAGGGGGTAATTGTCATGTGATTTAGTTTGGGGTGTCGCAACCGTCTCTCCGGGGATCCGAATGTCGTCGCGTCAGCATTTTTGGGAGTCGCCATCGATCTTACTTGGAGTGGATCGAACACTCATCGGTTGACTCTAACTTTAGGGTCAGAACCGGGGCTTGGTCTGCAAATTAGAAATATAGAGATCTAGGTTCGGGAGTACGTTTACGCGTGGGGAAGTTAAGCAACACCCCCCCACAACGCCCTGAATCGGTACTACCTAAGTCGATAAGTTTTTATACGAGTTGGGTGTATTTTTATACTATTTTTTGTAATTTTAGGGTCCCACTGGAGTTTGAGTTATATGTTGGTTTTAAGTTATATATGTTTGAAAAGAAGTTAAAGCTTGACTAAAGTTTAAAACGATGCTTACCAAGAAATTAGGGTAATGATAGATTCAGATGGGAGATATAAGTTATTATTACATGAACGGTGTTCAATTGAAAGGAATCGAATACATATAGATTGTAGTAATAGTATATTGCTACATAGAAACTGAACCGATGGCTTGAATGTGAAGCAGCTCATGAATTAAATAAAGTTGGTAGAGATAAACAGGCAAGCAGTTGGATGATTATAACGTTACTCTGATTGAGAATGAATTTGACGAAAACAGACATTAGATCTTATTGAAAAGGTGGGAGATTAGAAGCACCAACCTGTTAGGAGTTTCTATGCCCAAGAATGGCCTTCTGCTTCTATCTTCGGATCTCTGGACCAGCTTCGTGATGCAATCAAAGTCACGCAGCTTTCACTCGAACAAGAACAAGGATAAAGATGGACTCCAATCGGACAGAACTTGCTTGTGGAAAGGGGCAATTGGTATGTCAAACCAATCGGACAATCCTAGCTAGAAGTAAAGGGCAATTGGAAGGGATAGAACTCGCCACAATCGAAGTGGATATCCGATTGATAAGAGTTTGCTCTAGCTCTCTCCAGAATTCGCTCAATGGAAGAAAGTAGGGCTAGAAACCTCAAAGGAGGACTTGGCAAAAGCCTTGAATAAATCAGAAGTTTGGTGATAATTGTCTAAGGGCAAACCAACGTGTTCAGCCCTTTAAATAGGCAAAGTACAACCCAAATCCGAGTCCAACATGGAAAAACAATCATAAACCAACTTTAAAACAAGGAAATTCGGAAACAGCCCAGCAAACCCGTTAAGCCCAAACCCGTTAAGGCTGGACCCGTTAAGCAAACCCGTTAAGGCTGCTTCTTGCAATCTGCCTTCTCTTTAGCACTTCCTTCTTCTTCCACGACTTGAATCATCATACATGCTTTGGACTTCAGCAACTCCACATCCATGTCTCGAAAATAGCACTCCAAATAAGTAGAAAACTTCTCTTTGAATGACTTAGCCTTAGCTCGAGTGATTGACCTCTTGATGTCCTCATCACTTCGTGTAGAAGAAGGGTGCAAATAAGAATAAGATCCAATATTTCTGTGCTTAGTTTCTATCTCTGTAATGGATTGTAGCTTTTTTTCCTTTCTCCTCCAGGCCCTCAAACAAAGAGCTCAGAGAGCTCACTTTATAGAAAAAATTCATGCCTCGTTGCTTCATTTTCGTTGGTCTTTGTTGAGGTTGCATCTGCAAGACTGCAGCCTTCCCTTGAAAAGCACAATTGGTTGTGGATAAGATAGGCCGAGACGGGTTTGGGTCGAACCAGTGTCTGGATTGGAGCAGACCTGGGCTTGAGCCAATCTGTTTTGGGTCTTGCAAGTTGTACTCGAATTTGGCTTGCTCTTGAGTGGTTTCTTTTTTTTTTTTAGGTTGTTTTTGCTAATTGGGCCTCCAAGTGGTGGTCTACAAGCCCCAAATTCTGGTCCAAGTTGATTAGGGTCATTTGTATTTTGCTTTACTACTTGTACATGTAATCATTTGTGGGTAAGAGCCAAATGGATGTCTGATTGTACGACGCTTTGTATGTTCCTTTCTCATTTTCGACCCCATCAATTTAAATTGAACCCAAATTCTATAGTGGTCTTTCACAAAACAATATCGTTTCTTCTATCCCATTCGACAATCTCTAAACCAATTCTACCAATCTCGAACCGTGTAGGGTAATTTTAGTGTAGGTTGCTATACTTGATTAGACTAAATAAAAGTGGGAATGAGCAAATCTATACTTGATTAGACTAAATAAAAGTGATTTTGGAAGTCATTGGTATTTATTGACTTGCTACTGCTAGTCTCAACCAACTCTCCTCAGGCATCATATTTAATTTATTGTTATAATTTTTCTTCTTTTGATTTTAAATATAGTGTCCGCTCCGGACAAAATATGGTGTATACATGGGGAGCAATGTGTAATTAGTGTGTCACTCATATAAATAGGGCTGTGTTGTTAGGAGAAAGGTATCGAATATCCATTACAGAAATTTCTTTGTTCTTTCCCTGTCTTCCTCTCTGCTTCTTCTCCTTCCCTATCTCTGCCTTTCTTCATCTTCTTCTCCAATTCCTAACTCTCTTCTCAAACCCTTCTCCTCTTCTCTTCAATTCCAGTGTCCTATTCAGAATTCGCCAAGACTCCAATTCCTTCTACCCAGGGTGTTACAACATGATTAACACATTTTCACCAAGCTATATCTGTGCTGTTTAATCATCCAGAATACAGAGGTCAATGGGAAATTGGTCTGCCTATGTACGTACACAATACTACTACGAAAGCGACGAGGCCGCGATTCCACAAGGGCCGGTAACCCTCCCAGATTTCAAAACATCGCTTTCTGCAGTTTCCCCAGCTACTGCTATAAAACACCACCCACACATGGCTGTCGACGTAGCAATTACCAAAGTCAGAGCTTTGGACCGTTCCCTGTGATCATATCCTTCCTGGACGTTAACAACTTTCTACCCGCTTTCATTCATCAGCAACAAACAGAGTTGGTCACCCAACACATAAACCCCAAGGGTTGTTTGGCACATGTTATTTTGAGAATATCAAACTCTGAACTCTGACCAGAAACTTCAATAATATATGCAATCCTTGTGGTGCTCATCGTTACAAAGAGTCCCCTACGAACCATTGTGATTACTTTAAGAAGAATACATGACTCCCAAACAAAACCCTTTTCCGTCCTATAATTTTCACCCTCTTACAGCTGCTGACTCGTTCTTCCGACACTAACTCCACCCTATATAAACCATTCTACAGAAACATTTCCCTATGATCCACTTCTCACCACTCCACCGAAAATAAAACAACATTTCTTCTTCCAGATTCTCTGAATACACTCAAGCACGAAACGATGTCTACCACAAGAACCACAGCATTGAGTATGGGCATCGTGTTGCTTACCGTGCAGCTTCTATGTGGTGGTGGATCCAGGGCTCAGTCGTCGGACTGCTCGACAGTGCTCACCAGCTTGACCCCCTGCCTCGGTTACATCAGCGGCACTGACTCCAGTCCCAACAAGACCTGTTGCAGCCAGCTCGACAAAGTTGTTCGCTTATCGCCCCTGTGCTTGTGCCAGCTTCTCAGTGGCGGTGGCTCTTCGTTTGGCATCCCTGGTTTCAATCAGACACAGGCTCTGGAGTTGCCTGCTGCTTGTAATGTCCAGACTCCACCTGTGAGCAGCTGCAATGGCAAGATACCGAGCTAGCTCGCTCTCTCCTCTTTTCTTGGTTACTATTATATTTACTACCTGAAAGAATTTAACACATGAAAGATTGGTTTGCTAACTTTGAACAATAAACTTCTGCCTGCAGCTGCTTCCCCAAGTGCGTCCCCTGGGGGAAGCCCAGTACCACTCACTCCGAGTTCTCGAGGTAGGCATGGTGCTTTTCCCCCCAATCGCAAGTGAATTTCTTTTCCCTTTTTCTCTCGACCAAGTCTTTCATACTTTGGAATGGAATTGTTTGCAGAAGGATTAGGAGGTGCGCCCGGAACTAGTAGCTCAGATGGGAGCTCAATCAAGGCGCCAACGTCTTTGCTGCTCTTCTTCTTCTTCATCACAGCAGCCTCATATTGTTATTCTGCCTCCATGAGATACTGATGCTCTCCCTGATCAGAAAGCTTTCAGCCATTGCTATATTATCATGTAACATATGGGCAAGATTGAATAACTGAGGTATTACTGCCAGGACTGTGTTAGTTATTTGTGTATGCAAATCATGTAAGAATTAGAAGTTTCCATATATACATGAGAAGGCTAATTCCAGGGATGATTGCATGTTTGTACTCTGCCACACATTGTTTCTTGCTAATTAAGCAACTAAAAAGATCAAGTATGACTGACTAACCTGCAAAGTGGTGAATTACTGTCTTATTGTATTGAAGGTAAAAGCCTACAGAAAGGTAAAAAGAATTCACCAGTTAGTTAGCAATATGATCAACCTACTTACACCCAAAGCAACCTTGACAAAGATGAAAATTGACAAATACAGGGAAAACAGGAGAGGGAGTAAAGAACCCACCTCCTGCAATGGAACCAAGTGATTGCCACTGGAGGAGATTGATAAACACCCGACAGCATCTGTCCTTGATGACATATTCACATGACAAGGCAATAAATTATCCACATCTTTGTGAATTGTGATGATAGCCTGATACAGCTTCTGATATCGTCTCTGTTCCAAATAGAAATGAAAGCAAAAAGCGCAATCAATTAGCTGAGACATATAGTTCTAGATTGCTCAAACACATTAAACCAGGACAGTGTGTAATTTTGATAAATAGTGTCCATCAAGTAGGTGGTAAAAATAAGAAATTGTAGCTGCAGTGAAGAAGTCTTGGCCGGTATGTGTCCCAGTAAACAAGTACAGGAGAATTCAAATTTTTGCTTTATCATAGCATGAACCTGGATTTCATAGTTCTAAGGGCAAGTAGACTACATACAGGTGGCCAATTCAACAAGGAAATTAACCAACATTCTAATCCACCATTGTAGAGCTATGTATCTAACAAACAGCGTCCCTCCTACAATTAGATCAGGGCACCACTCAAACCACTGATAAATAACTTAAGTTAGATTCAACAACTATGCACCAAAGGCCACAGAGGATTTCTGTGGATCAAGTAGCCGCTGCCTGATAATCATAGATTTCGGGACCCCTAATTTCAAGCGAATCATTATGTTAGAGCAGAACCCAAACATCACATATGTGAAAAAGAGTTGCCCCAAAGGATAACTTGAGAAAAAAGCTCTACTGAATATAGAGTATACACTGCAAACCAATTCCAGTGTTCAAACGCGAAACACTAACAATCTCACTCAACTGATCTTTTCCTGAAGCGACCCTTGTGGGGTGAATCAATTTCTCATACAACTTGAAATTCAGCCATAAATATTGGAACCTGGATCCACCACCACCATGCACACCTCAAATAAACATCAAGTGTATTCCATCAATCGTAGATGGGAAAAACAACAGCTAATTATCACCAGAGCTCACACAGATCTTGATTACTGTATGTTTTACAGAACAAAGATACGAACTTTCAACATTGATGCACGTTTTCAAGAATGTGATCGTGAGCGCACAAATTCTTCCAGTCTGTCCCACACCTCCAATGCAGCTGCCCTGTCCTGATGCCTCTTGTTCTTACTAATCTGCAAGTTCAATAATTTTACAAATCCCATTGTCAAGACACAATCTAGAAGTAAACAGAGATGCTTGCAAAGAACAAACGACAGCTCACCGAGATAATCTTCACATTCCACTGTTTCACAGTTTTTGCAGACTCTATGCTGTCATCTTCGAATCGCATGAAGAAACCAATAACTGCATTACCAAAAGTAAGCAAAACAAGGTCAGTACTTAGTAAACCAATTCACTTTTAACGAAAGATGGCACTGTCAAAGAATCCTCCATATGTAGTACTTACTGTTATTAAAAATCTCCACATGATCCTTGTAAGGCCAATCCTTGAACTGCCATTCCTTCCCCAGCACAAAAACCGCCACAACCCGGTCCCAATCATCAGACTTTAGGGAAGAAGGTTTATCCCTAACCTCATAAGCAGTCATCACCTTGTTCCTATCAGTGCTAAACTTCTTTTGCACAGTCACGCACTCTGGTTTCGCCCCTTTCATTTGCTTCACCTTCACATCCGTAGGTATGTAAATCCCATCCTCCAGGAACTCCTTAACATTGTAAATCGTTATCAAAGTCTGGAACGCGCTAGGAACCAAGATGATAGGCACTCCTTCCCCAATTTTCCCTCTTAGTTTCGGCTTCATCCCTGAATCGTTATCATCGCCATAGCCAGCCCCCCTGTCATCATTCAATCTGCTGCTCTTGGACACCAACCCATCTTTCCTCTGCTGCGATTCAATCCTCTGCCGCTCATCTTCCCTCTTCATCGAGGAATCCAATACGCTGTAGAAATCCTTTTTCTTACACTGCAGCAGAGACTCCCGATCCTTCAATGGCCTCTCCATCGAGCAGATCACTGACAAGATATCCTTCACTTCACCATTCTGATCAGTATCCATCTCCTCGACGGCGGCATCGTTAAGGGGGTCGAAATTGGGGGCGTCATAATAATCGTGACCTAGATTTCTAGCCGAATTAGGGTTTTGCTCTTGCGGCCGCAGGTATGATGGAGGGAAAACGACGGCGTCGGAATCGGCGATTACCCCCTTCAAGTAGTCGAGAAGCGGCTTCCGGTCGACTAAACTGATGTAGGGAACGCCATGGGCGCGGCAGCTCTGGAGATAGTCGGTGTGCTTGAGATTCGCGCACTGGAGAAAATGGACCAGCGTTTCGAGGGTGTAGAGGTTGCCTTCTCTGGAACGGTACGCTGTTTCGGCGGAGCAAGGGAAGGAGTAATCGGAGCCGAAGCGGAACTGGCCGTTAACGCGGACGATCTTGTTCAGGTCGTCCTTCATGGTGTATTCGCGGAGAACTGAAAGAGGATCCATTCTGAGTGTAGAGCTGAAGAAGGGTTACTTTGTTAAGAGATCTCCGTAGGTTTGAAATTTGAATATGTCGCCGGTGACAATGTTGGGAGGTTGACGACGGAGTCGGAGCCGGCGATGCTGCCGTCACTGTGAGCTAAACGGGGCTATTCGAGCTTTGAGTGCGTGATGTGGGAATTTGGAATCGGAGGAGAAATAATATGCGACATATAAAGAATCTTTGGGCCTAGTTCGTTTTGGGCTAGGTGAGCAATGTCTAAATCGGACTATGGGTATTGTCCGACTCGATTCATACCGGAATGGGTATTCGACGTGCAACACCAAGGGGGCATGAGTTGCTATTTTCGACTTTTCCATCCCAGCGTTCTACTTTTCACTTGTTCTATCTCAAATTTCTTCTCTATGGATTGTATTTCTCCTATTTCAAACATAGTTTTAGGGCGAAGGGAGAAGGACGAACATCAAAAGGAGATGGGGTCATCCTGATGGACTGACGACGGTAGGCCTATGAAAACAATCAAGGACCGATGAACGTCGAAGAGCGTCAACCATGAAGTTCCGCCAAGCCCTCGGGCAGCTCGAGTACAGAAAAGAGACCAACGATATGAGGCTCCTTCCTCTAAGCTTGAGCCAGTCCACTACGTCAGGAGAAAGAACAGGCTCACCGACAACGACTCATTTTTTAGGCTGAATCCAAGGACGAATTCCTTGTGCAGGATCCTCCCATGTAGACACGTAAAGATGCTGTTTAGCGCCCTGCAAGCCAACGTCCATCACTGCGCAATGTGTCGGACTCGTCTCGCCCAACAGGTGTGGTTGACGCTACTAAGCGACGAATGAGGAAAGGGGAGTATTCCCCTCAACTGCGGGTTAGTCCGGCTGCTGGCCCCAGGGTATGTACTATACTACTCCGAGGGAGACCAATCCCAATGGAAATTGTGAAAGGGTTGCTCGCGGGAGGAAGAGTGGGAAGATGGACAAGCGGAAGGAAGGCAAAGCTTCTCTGACCTTGGGGGTCTATGATGAGTGGATGATGAATCTCATTTGGTGCAAACTTCCCTAGTCGATTCCATGGGGCTTAAAACGGAAAGTGCTCTTTCTGATAACCAGGACCCAGTAGACTCGGAGGTGACATTGTCAACGAAAGGCAGCCGACCCTATGAACTTAAATGGCGCATACCCACAAAAAAATAGAAATGTGGGACGACGCACTCAAACCGGGAGGGTACACAAGGTGATCAAGGCCTTCAAATCCGGACTGGTCATGGATGACTCTGGTATGGAGAAAGGGCTTCATCAGCTTACAATTCCTGCGGTGAACGAGAGGTTGGAGACGGTGGATGATGGTAATGAGGGGCTGCCTCATAATCTCAATGAATATGGATTCAATTTTGATACTGGTGCTGGGGGAAAAAGTGTTCTAGAGGAGCTTGAGGGAAATATTGCTGAAAATCCCCACACCAAAAAAACAGTTTATGGAAGAGAAGGATGATGCTGATAAGGTGGAGAAAGCCAGCCTCGAATGGCCCCAGTCGGATAAATGAGACTTCTGACATGGAATGTAAGAGGAATTAGACCATCCCTCACATTCCAAGCCACTATCGGTTTAGTTCATTCAAATAAACCGGATCTCGTCTTTTTTTCTTCCTAAAACAGGATCGAGCCGAAGAGTAGTCTCCCGTCGTATGCAGGGTTTATCTTTCTCATTGCTTCTTTGTTGATGCGATTGATGCAACGAGCGGTTTAGTGGTAGCTTGATCCCCGGAAGTTGATGCTTCGGTGTTTTTTATTTCCAACTTCTGTATTTGTGCCCAAATTAATGAAGTGAAATTTTCTTATGTTGTGATTTATGTTTACATTAGTTGTAATATCGCAATTCCGCCCAGCTGGCTCAATTACGGGAAATCTGTGATATCATCCATCTCCCCTACGTTGTCATAGCCAATTTTAACACTACTCTTCATGAGAGTGAGAAAGATGGCAGTAATTCATGGAATGCTGCTCAATCTCTTAGCGTGCGCGATTTTGTCCAGGACCTGGTTTTACATGACCCTGGTGACCAAGGTGATCCATTCACCTGGACGAACAGTGAGATGGGTGCAGCTTGTATTCATGAGAGGCTGGACAGAGCTTTGTGCTCCCATACCTGGTTCGATCATTATCCAGATACCTTGGTGAAGCATTTCACGCATCAATGATCGGATCATCGGCCTCTCCTCGTTTCAGACAAGCCCTATACTCAAAATAGTTGCCCCTTTTTCGATTTGATACTCGCTGGGCTGATAATCCGAAAGTCAAGGCTATGGTGACTTATGTTTGGCAGGAGGAGATTCCAGGGACTTCTATGTTTCAACTTTGGGAACGTCTTAAAAAGCTTCGCCATTTGCTCTATGACTGGAGTAGGGTGGGTACAACAAATTCCCTTCGCAATATTAGAACTCCCCAGGCTGAAATTGATACAATAAAATCCATCCTATTGATTGGGATGTGGTTCGGCATTTGGAGATGGAGTTAAATCGCCAATGGGAGGCTGAGGAAGTCTACTGGCAGTAGAAATTTAGAGTCCGTTGGTTGAAGAAAGTAGACAAAAATACATTGTATTTCCATACGATGACGAGGACTAGGAGAAAACGGAACTTCGTTTCTGACCTTCGTAACGACAATGTTGATTGTATTACTGAGGAAAATGGTAAGGCAGACATTGCTTGTAATTTTTATCAGACTTTTTTCACCTTGGAGAATCAGGTGATGAACATGGTCGATCGGGTGGCTGATCTTCCCATTGCCAAAAGTCTTGCTCCGAAAATGAATGTCAACCTCACGGCTGAAGTCCTTCCTCAGGAAGTGAGGAAAATGATTTTCTCCATGGGTTCGAAGCAGGCACCAGGTTCTGATGGGTTCACTGACAAATTCTTCAAAGCATTCTGGGATATTGTTAGTAGCTCGGTGATTGATGTTGTCTGCGCGTTCTTTGCATCGAGCAAGATGCTCCGTAGCTTCAATTATACTTGGTTGACGTTGATCCCCAAAGTGGATAGTGTGGAGACCATGAGACAGCTTTGTCCTATCATCTCGGCTGGTCAAAATGCTTTTATCCGCGAATGACAAATAGTGGAGAACATCCTCCTTGGTCATGAGTTAATGCATTACTTGAATATCAAATTACGAGGCAAGAAAGGGTTAGCTCTAAAGCTTGATATGGAAAAGGCCTATGATAGAGTCGAATAGCCATTTCTTTTTGCAGTTTTGGACAATATGGGTTTTAACTCCATCTGGCAAGGATGGATTCATGAATGCTTCAAATCAACGTCGTTTTCGGTTCTCATGAATGGCACCCCTTCGGGCTACTTCACACCTTCCAGTGGACTTTGGCAGGGGGGATCCTCTATCCCCTCTCCTGTTTGTGCTCTGCACGGAGGGGTTTGCGACGCTCCTTCAAAAAGCTATTTCGGAATGCAAACTTGAAGGAGTTAAAGTGGCTCCTTGAGCGCCTCAGATCTCTCTTTTTTTTTTTTTTGCAGATGATTCATATTTGTTTCTTCGAGGTTCTCTCCAGGAATGTGAGAATTTGATCAAGGTTTTGAATGAATATGAAGAGCTTAGTGGCCAACGAGTCAACTTGGCGAAATCGGTAGTTTGCTTTAGTAAGAACATTGCTCTGTCGGACCAAGAATTTTTTGCTCAAATTTTGGGTGTCGGGGCGGTAGGGGTCCACGATAAATATTTGGGGTTACCTACGCTGATTGCCCGGTCTAAGATGGCTACTTTTCTGTATTTGGAGTAGAAGTTGCTAGAAGGACTCCATAGCTAGAAACAGAGGATACTATCTTGGACAGCTAAGGAAACTTTGATTAAATCAGTTGCTTTAGCCTTGTTGCATGTTATGTCCTGCTTCAAATTACCTCTCTTTCTCTGTCGTCTCCTGGACAAACATGTGGCCCGATTCTAGTGGGGGTGTTGAAGAGGGTAAGTCGAGGATTCGCTGGATATCCTGGTGCAATATGTGCAGGAGTAAGCATGACGGGGGTATGGGATTTCGTGGTTTTGAACATTTTAATCAGGCTCTTTTTGCCCAAATTGGGTGGCATATTTTTAATGAACCCCAGTCTCTTATAGACCAAGTTTACAAAGGAAAATATTTTCCGACTGGTACCTTTCTCAATGCTACGGCTCACTCTTGCCCATCCTGGGGTTGGCAGAGTATCCTTTATGGATGGTAGGTATTAGATACAGGGTTAAGATGACAAATTGGTAATGGTCAGAATGCTTCCTTACTTCATTCCAACTGGATTCCTCGGTTACATCACTATCCTACAACATATAATCCTCAGGTGTTACCAGATGGGGGTGACCCGCCAGTAGCCGAGGTTATCTGTTATGGAGAGGGTTGTTGGTGTGACCGGAAACTCAACCAATGGTTTGACCCACTGTTGATGGGATTTTGTCTGTTAAATCAGCCTACCATTTTGTTGTTTCACTTTATCAGTGAAGGGGCCGTTGGAGGTCCACGGCTAGTTGGATGGGTAGGTCCAGTTGGATTTGATTATTGGAGGCAAATATTCCTCCCAAATTGAAAGTATTCGTCTTACAGATCTTTAATCGCATACTGGCTACTAATGAAGCCCTAATTGAGAAGGATGGTCTTGTGCATCCCAGATGCCCAGTTTGTTAGGCAAAGCCAGAATCAATGGAACACTTGTTTCTGTACTGCCCTGTGGCACTGGCGCTTTGGGACTATTCGGGTCTAGAGTATCTAGGCCAAGGGCTGCCTCATCATACTTTCCCACTGTTTCTAAAAAAGTTAATGTCATTAATTCACCAACCTTCTCTGTTCATGGCGGTTTTTGATGTCGTCTGGAGGATTAGGCGGTCTCGTAACTGGGTTGTCTTTGAAGGTAAACAGTTTGGGATCCCTGCCTTGATGCGCCAATTTCACCAGCATATGAGGAGTGGGTAAGTTTGCCTGTGTATCGAGTACTCCAGTCTTCCATCCTTTGATACAACGCTTGGGTCATGAGGGGTCTAATGTGGCTATTTGTATGTGGGATGGGGCTACAAGGAGTGGGTCTCATTCGATGGGCGGGATGGTTGTTATGAACTAAGCTAGGGAAATTCTTCTGACACATGAGATTGAATTTCCGTTCATTGATGACCCTATTGTGGTCGAGTTGCTTGTGCTCAGGGAAGCTATTTCTTGGTGCCTGGGTCACGGCTTCACGAAAATAAGGTTCGAAAGGGATGCCAAAGTAGTCATTGATAAGATCAATCGGGCTGATACCAGAGATAACCGGATAGGGGCTATTCTTGAAGAACTCGTGCATTACTTTGCCATTCATTTTGGGTTTAGTGTTCGGTTTGTAGGTCGGTGTAGAAATAGGGTAGCTCATACGGTGGCTAGAAAGACCCTTTCATTGTACCTGACTACGAGTCGTTTCTTTGATTTTCCGACCTGGCTGAACTCCAGGATGTAACTGCCTATTCTTTGAATCAATATACGATTATCTTTTGTAAAAAAATTGAAGGGAGAAGGACGAACAGTGGTGTTGTCAGGATTTCATTTAAGGAGGTTCCGACGTAGAAATATAAATATATTAATAAATATTATTAATATTAAAATGAACTAGAATGTGTTTTTATAATTTGTCGATTGATTTTCGTTTGAGGGTGGAGAATTCTACCGTAAATTATTAAGGATAATGTCTATTTTTTATCCAAACCTTTTTCAGATTCTTTTATATTATCCAAGCCTATTAAAATCCTATTAATTAGCCAAATATTTCATAATGCATCAAAATATTAGCCATTTTACGTTATCGTTAATAACTTTGTAACTTTTTTCTTAGTTAAAATACTAAAATTTTGGAATGTTAACTTTCATTTGTCTCTTCCAAGTCAGTATCATGTTGCCAAGTCAATATTACTAATAAAATTGCTAACTGAAAGTTAACATTTGGCTAATTCTTAGTATTTGAATAGGTTTGACTAATAAAAAAAATTCCAAAAAGGTTTGGATAAAAAATCGATATTACCCAATTATAAATGATAAAACTAAGAATAAACCATTAGAGACACAATTCTATGCAAAAATCTAGAGGTTCTTTAGATAATATGTATGCTTTATATGTGCTATAAAGTTCTCTACTATATGTTGGTAGAAAAGTAGTGAAATGAGGTGTTTTAGTTGAGTATTATGGGTTTTGTACAAATACTGTTATTTTTGTGTGTATTAGTGGTCGTTTTGAAGTTCTGATTGTTTTTTAATGAGATTGTTACTATACTTTGTATTTTTAGAATATGATATGTGATGTGACATAAACTATCACTTAAAATGAATGATTGTTATATCTCAACTTTTAGCTGAGATTGTTTTACACTTTTACCTGAACTTTTAGCAAATGCAATATACACAATCATACATACTAAATGTTGGATTTTACAATGTATCAAATTTTCAATATATGTATAATACAACAATACATATATTTAACAATCACAACTTCCAGACGATAACTTAATTTGGAGCCAAGGTGGGTTCGAGGACCCACCCTCTTTCAAGCTAGCTCCGCCATTGAGGATGTAGGAAAATGATGAATTTTTAAAATGCATGATAGCGAGGTTACAACAGATATGATGCTACTAGGAGGGTGATGATATTGACTACTTATCACTTCTTGCTTCTTTTACCGAGGAGGATAAAAGAAGTTTAGTATTAAGGCTGGAAAGGCCCCAGAACCTTATGGGTCTAGAGTGGATCTAATGAAACTTTAAATAGGTACAAGGTTTGATGTTTCAATTGTTTAGACTTAATTACTATTTCTACTATCATTGTTTTTCCTTCATTTCTTTTGCTTATCATATGAGAATGAATTTTTTTGCATTTATTTTCTTAAGATAATATGTGAGAATGGGTCGACCCACCCCATCCAGTATATGCTCGGGTATTACCCGACCTGACTCGTGCGTGCAGAGTTGTACGGGTATTGAGATGTTCGGTACACCCTACCTGTTGACACCCAAAATTATTTTAGATTGAATTCAATGTCGCATTAATTAGTTTCGGTATTTAATTGGATATCGCAGGACAAAAAACAAGGTGTCGTTTAGAGTCGAGCGGCATCGCAGAGAGTTAAAACGACACCGCGAGGAAGCCCAACAACACCGCGGTACTTATAACGACATTGTTTAGGGAAAACAATGTCGGATTCACTCGGCCTGGCAAAGTTGGTGTTGTTATTGGAAAAAGAATGCTTTTTGTTTATTACTCGTCGGAAGAGGAGAAAAACGACATCGATTATAGACAAACGGCATCACGGATGGGTAAAACGGTGTCGCGAGTAATCCAAGCGGATTAGAAAACGACACCGTGGATTAGAAAAATACACAGCAAGGAAGTTGGACGGCACCGCGATAGTTGAAACGACATTGTTTACTAGAAAACATGTGTGAATACCGCAAGAGTTGTGTTGCTGTTGGAAAAGGGGTGTTTTTCTTTTATTCCTTGTCGGGGGAGGAGAGAAACAACACCGTTTGGAGTCAAGCAATGTCGGGAAGAGATGAAACGGTGTCGAGAAACTCAAAGCTCAACGACATCGCGAGACAGGGAAACAAGATTGTTTGGCTAAAAAACGATACCGCGAGAAGCCTTGGTAAGCGATGTCGTTTAGTTAAAAACCATATCAGGTAAGTGCTTGGTCCAAAATCCACCAAGTCAAATACGAGTTCAAAGTTGTCCCAATTTAATAAATTGATATTTTTCTTTTTTGATTATTTTGGATGGTGTCGTTTAGTTAAAAACGATACCGCGAGTAACCCAGCACTACCGAGGCACTAAAAACGATGTTGTTTAATAGAAAAACGATGTTGTTTAATAGAAAAACAACAATGTGTGGCTAGAGTTCAGTTCAAGGGCTCGATATCGTCGTGGACTAAACTGAAGCAATGTCGCGACATGGTGACCTCAACAATGATGTCAAGCGATGCCGAGTTTTATTAAGCTAGCGAGGTTGCAATTTTAACGATGCCACGCGAGGCCGAAGTGTCACAGAAGGAAAAACGACACTGTTTGATGGACAACAAGGCCGACATTGAATAATGAAAGTCGATGCCGTGGAAAGATTAAATGGCGTCAGAAAGCTTAACAACATCGTAGGACTAGATAACGATGTTGTTTAACTAAGAACGGCGAGGGATGAGAGTTTGACGGCGTGTCAATAATGAGGCCAGTTTGAGTATTCTACGATTATTTGGGACGATGTCGTTTAGTTGAAAACGACACCGCGAGGGGTATCAGCAACGCCGCCGTATTAGTAAGCGATGTCGTTTAATTAAAACAATGTTGCAGTGGGTAAGGGTTTGGCCCAAGGGCCGTCAAATCCAATAGACACAGACAACACCGAGGAGGTATTTGAACCGACGTTATTTAGCAAAAGCAATGTCGCTGAACCACGGGCCACACGTACGAGCCCAATACAACCAGGCGGGTCTAGAATGTTTCGTCAAAACAAGGTGGCGTTACAAGTTAGTGAAATTGCAAGCCCAACTAATTCAACTTGTTGGGGATTTCGTCAGCGCCATGATGACATGAAGCGCTATTGTTTAGCTAAAAATCAGGGTGACAATCGGTTTCCCGGTATCTGGTTTAACCGGTAACCAGCTTGTTTCGGTTGTCGGCGGCCACAAATGGAGCCTCGGTATACCGAACCCCTTGCCGGTAAATACCGGCGGTTATCCGGTTAAACCGGATACCGGGAAGAAGGGAAACTCGACTAACACTTCCTCCCCCACACTCCACTTTACCAAGTCATCTTTCTCTGTCACACGCGCTCTCGAGCCAAAAAAAAGAAAGCCAAAACCAAAAAGGCAGAATGGGAAATCAAATGAGCTTCTTCTACAGCTGTTCCACCTTCTTCTTCTTCTTCTTTTCCATCCCCCAACGATTCTCTGTTTCTGAAGGAGCATCGACAGTTCCCTTTCGCTCTCTGTATATAAGAGGTCTAATCCGACGAAGTTACCCACCCCATTCAAATTCGGTAGACCAAACAGATCAAACACCGACTCTCATCCCTGTCGAGTTTCTACCTTGGCACTGTCCGACGTCAACGCGGACTCTGTCGGCGCCTCTCCGCGACGCCGCCTTCCCTCTCCTCCTTCCCTCATCCCCAGTTGTCGATGACGAACATCTCTTCCCTCAGTCATCTTCGTTGTTGTCTCCCTATCGCTGTGGTTCTCAGTCCGTCGAGATTCCAGATCCAGAGCCTCCGCCGGGAATCGATACTGTCCACACGCTGCCAGCGCCTCGCCTTCTATCTCTATTCCAGATCCGGAGCCGCCACCGAGACACGATGGTGCCCACTCTCTTTCATCTTCAACCTTGGTCACCGAAACTCAAGATCGGCGCCACTCTCACTTCCTCTCGATTCCAGATCTGCCAGCAAAAGGGGACAACACCGCAACACCAACTCGATCTGCATGGCCAATCCCTGCCTGATTTCGTCACAATCTCATCGTTGAATGGTTCGGCTTCCATCGTGTGGGGGTTTTCGGATAACCGGGAACAATAACCGTTACCAAAAATTCGGTAAGCCGGTTAACCGGCAATTCCTCGGTACCGGTAGTCGGAAGCTACATGGGGCTTTTGGTAATACCGATAACCGGGAATTCGGTAACCGGTTATACCGGTACCGACCGATTACCAGGCCTAGCTAAAAACAACGTAGGTTATGTTGGGAAGTGCAAGAAGCGACGTTGTTTAGTCAAAAACAAAGTCAAGAGATTTGGGTCCAACTTAGGCCGAAAAATGGTATTGATTAATTGAGGCCTCTCGCAGCAGCGTGGGGGATTTATCGTATTAGCAACATCGATAGAAGTTGTAGCCTAACAAGGTTGCAGTATAATGAAATGGCTTCGCGTGGAGAGATATAACCATGCTAGTCGTATAAACAAACGTGGTTGGGCTGGCAAAGGCCTTGAGAGCCCAACGCTATGAGCTTGACGTTGTCGTATGGAAGGAGTAGTGATGGTTGGTGGTTGCATCAGCGTGGTCCAGTTTTTGGCCACAAAGAGGAAGAGTCGAGCTTCAACGATACCGCAAACTTAATGAGCTGGAGGTTTTGTGGAAAGAAGTTATGATAGAGCCTGGGTTCTACGACATTGATGATTTTGGTCCAAGAAGGTCAACAAGGTCACGAGGTTGCAAGCTCCCAAACAATGTTGCAAGTTCGACGGGTAAGTGACTAAGTTGGTTTTATCCAAACTAGTTTTCTAGAGCCAAACATGTTTGATCATGAACCGAGAGTCCTAGGAACACAACGTCACGGTTCAATCGTGAGTATGGTGGAGCCGTAGATCCTAGCAACGACATTGTTCTATAAAGAACAATGTTGTCCTAGTGGTTCGTGGTTTATCACCTTAGGGCCAGCCTTGTCGTTGGCCATTTAACGTCTTACCAATGTTGAAAACCTGAACATGGCGATGAGTTGATGTGGATGATAATCCTAACCGTGTGGAACCCAAGATAACCACAAAGAATGGAGGCTCGCATGCTCGCATTGTGAAAGTGAAAGCAACACCATTGTTTATTTGATGGACGAGGTTGTTTGGAGGATCGAACCGCGGTGGACAGATATGGAATTTGGTTCAATGTCGTTTTGCCTAGTTTTGGTGTATCGCGAGCAGTTTCTTGTTCACGTGAGTATCACGCAACAAGGTGGAGGTTTGCCTGCACCATTGAGAAGTGGAGAACGTGGAGGCAATGACGGAGAAGTGTTTACTGCGACTTTGGAAGGAGGAGGGGTATAAACATCATAAGGAGAGAGAAGCTCGAGACGGCAAAATCATATCACAAACTGCATTATCGCAAGTTATCCTTTTTATCTCTAGTTCGTAGAATCGCTCTTTCAAAGATCTCCTTTACAGATTCGTAGATCGTAGTCTTTATCATAGTCGTAGTCGCGGCGCTCTCCAGATGAACCTCCATAGGAGTAGAGGTAACATAACTTTAAAATCTTGTTTTGGTTTCTGGTTATTCGTCGAATACCCTGGTTCGAGTGTAGTTTGGAGAGGTCGTGAACCGAATAACAATCGTTTGGTTAATTGGATTCGTATTCTTGTTTTCCTTTAGAACAGAGCTGCATTGAACACACGAGTTTCGCCATCAAAACAAATTGACATATCTGGTGGGACGTGTGTGTTCGAATGGCTCCGCGACGGAGGAATCACGAGGGCGATCTTTCACAAACTTCAGTGGAGGAAGAGCAGATGGTCAACGTGGAGATTGACCAGATTGGCAGTTCAAACGACGCTTCGAGCAACGACGCCAGAGGGGAAGTTCCGCCAAGTCATGGTGATAACCATCAGGTAAAACTTCACTTAGCCTCTTTGGATGGACGTCGATGGTCTTAGCTCTCGGATCGATAGACGTGTTAGCCAATTGGTTGAATTCGTAGATAAAAACAGAATGGATTTTGAAAGTAACAGACGTGATTTTAATGAATTTAGAGACTTTTTTAGTAGGACAGTGCCGCAAACAAGGGCTTTGCCGTTAAACGAAGAGAATCTGTTACCCAACGACACTGGCACCAATAACCACTTAGACAGAGAGTTCTGCCGAAACCGGTGATGAACCCACCAACTCTGCGAGTGAATCTAGGCGAGACCAGCATTATTGCTAACACTCGTGCTGAACCACCATCGTTCCACATTGGGGGTCCACAAAATATCCCGGAGGCTAGACCCTATGTGGCCCCAATGACTGATGCTGTTGGTGAAGTAACTATCAACAATGACCATGTTCCGCCATGCAGCTACCCAGAAAACGTGCCTCCTCCTACAAACATGCATTATGTGGATCCCGGTGGATTCATGCCACAAGGGGGGCAACTCGGGGGCATGACGTGAACGTCATCCGAGATCAAGTAGCACAAATGCTGGCGTATCAGTTTGGTTTAGGGATTAGACCAACGATGCCGCCAGTGTAGGGGTGGGCATTCGGTTGTTTCGGTTCAAACCGAACCGAAATTATGCATATCGGGTCCCCGAATTCTATCAAAACTCAAACCGAATTCGAACCGAATTATATTTTGGTTCGGTCGGTTCAAACCGAATTATAATTTGATTCGGTTTGGTTTTTCATACAAAACCGAACTTGCGAAGTTAGCTTGTATCTTCTCACTTTTAAATTATTTTTCACCCCTAATGTAAACAATAAATATGCATCATCAATGATAAAATCAAACATTTCAACACATAAGTCATAAAACACTAACATGATTCAAATATTTAAGTCTCATAATAAGTAGAAACATAAAAAATCCACCATTTGGAGCTTGAAATTATAATAATTCGGTTTTTCGGTTAGGAATTCGGAAATTCGGTTTGGTCGAAAGAACCCTGGTTTCTGAAATATGCCCTTTTCTCTTCCGAATTCCGAACCGAATAACATTAATTTGGTTTCGGGTTGGTTTATATTCGGTTCGATTCGGTTTTACCAAACCGTATGCCCACCCCTACACCAGTGTACAGAATATCCGCATTAGGTTGATAGGTACTACCCATTCCCACGTGGTTTTCCCGTACCTCATTTCATCACTTTCAACGAAACAGTAGATCAGTCCACCGTTGAACATGTTGGACGATTCACTGTTCACTGCGGTGATGTTAGCGATTTCTTGAAATTACGTTTGTTTGGCAACTCGTTGACCGGTCTCGCATTTGCGTGGTACATCAACTTGCAATGGCAGCCAATGGAACAAATGTTCCATGCTCAATTCTACCGTTTTGAGCTAGAAGTGACTATGGCATACTCAGCACGAATGCGCCGGTAACCATAAGAAACGGTGGAACACTTCTTAACTAATTTTAAAAATGCAAGAAATCGCTGTTTTGTAAACTTGACAGAACGCGAGTTTGTTAAAATTGCTCAATGAGGATTGAATTTTGAATTGCGTAAAAAATTTCAAGATAAGGAGTTTTCAGATCTGTTTCAATTGATGTCCTGCGCTGTTAGATACAAGTCTCTTCTCCATGAAGAAAAACATAGGAGAAGTGGTTCTCGAGGACAATATTTTCCAAAATTTGAAGAGTGGTGTGAATCACGTCGGCTGCAATGATGACGAGGTCAAAGTTGACTTTGCTGAGATTGTGCAGGAAAAGCCATATGTGTGTGCTTCTCTAGCCAAGGCCGATGGGGAACCACAAGGTGGAAAGCCCAATCGTGCTCCAATTCAACCTAGGAAATATTTCTTTGATGTTTCAAAATCAGATTTGATTTTCGACAAACTTTACAAAGATGGTCAAATTAAATTAAATGGGGGGCATACTATCCCGCCAGCTGAAAAATTAAAAGGGAAACGATACTGTAAGTGGCACAACAGTGCGTCTCATTCAACTAACATGTGTGTTGTGTTTTGCAATGTTGTGCAGGATGCAATTGAGAAAGGCCGGTTCAAGTTCCCAGAGCCAAGAAGGAGGTCATGATTGTCGACACGGACCCTTTCCCAAACGTTGTCGCATCAACATAGTCAATCCTGATTTATCTAAGATCAACCTGCCACGCTTCAAGCTGGTGGTGGATACAACACCACCGCCGAGTGGTAGTTTTGATGTGGCCCAGGGTGCTTCATCCTCCCAAATGCAAGATACGCCACACTTGGATCCAGCTGAGGAGGAGAAGCTGTGTGCCCAGTGTCGCGAAAAGCTAAACATTGGTGGAGCAAGGCCGAGCCAGTTGGTCCACCAGAGATTGGGACCACGACAGTTCAAACTGAGATACCCCTTGTATGAACACAATGTTGAAGGAGTACGTGCACCTGCATGGGGAAGGGGGCAGCATAGGCAGTGGATTTCTCAAAATGCCCCACCTTTCAAGAGTTTACCCTTCGAACTTGCCCATCCTTTGAGAAGTTCCCCACCTATCAGGAGAACCTTCAGGATGCCAAATGTTCCACGGGTGGTTGGCACACTTACGATGTCCGTCGTCAGCAGCCCATCGCAGTTGATAGCACAACAATGACGCAGTATCAAAGGTACCTCCGTAAGAATGCTCAAGTAAGGGGATTGCAAACTTGCAAGCAAATGGAAATGTGGAAAAATCGGGTCTGAGAGTGACTGTGGCCGGTGCTGGAAAAATTTTTAATGACAAGTTGGACAGGAACGATCCGGGAGTCTCGGGAGAGGCTGAGTACAATGCTGAGTTCGATGACTCCTTCATCAAAGAGGAGATGCTGGAATTGGATGAGTCGAAGTCGAAATTTGATCGAAAGAACAAGGATGATGATGATGTCAACCAAGGTGCACCCATGATGATCCATTTTGGAAGTCTACCACCGATGGTGGTGAACAACTACATCTTGCCTTTGATTTTCCACATTGATTTGGAAAATTTTGGAAAATCAGGGAGAGGATGGCGAGGTTGTGATGGAGGCTGAAGAGGTCGACAAAGCTGCTCAAGATGTCAACGTTGCTGAGCTGGTGAGCGGTTTTGCTCAACTGACTCTAGATGAGGAGAATGAAGTGCCAGCAGCGGCAGAGCTAGTTGGCGAGTCCGCGGATTTGCCAATCGAGG